AAACCCAAAACCCAAACCCAAAACCCAAGCCCAAATCCACAACTACCCAAAAAGAATAAACCAATCTCCCAAAAAAAAAAAAAAAGTTAAAACTCTTCATTCTCCTTCGACTTAATTCAATTTTTAGTCTATTAACTATCACCTTTGATTTCATTTTAATCTAGAAACTATGTTTTATTTCTAAGTGGTCTATTAACTTTCAGATTCATTTCAATTTCGTCTATTTAGTCAAAGATAACGGAAAACTTCTTATTTGTTAGAGAACAATTAGTCCTCTAACTATATTTTTTTATCTTTTAGTCATCAAATTTATATTTGTTATAAAAATAACTTTTATACTTAAAATTATTATTTTTAAGTTATGATATCAGATTTTTATACTTAAAATTATTATTTCTAACTGGTCTAATAACTTTTAGGCTTTGATATCAAATTAAAGAAATAGGAAAACCCGTATAAAAATCTGGTATCAAAACTTATAAATAATAATTTTAAGTAAAAACCTATAGATAATAATTTTAAGTAAAAAAATTATTTTTATAACAAATATAAATTTAAGGATTAAAAGATTAAAAAAAATATAGTTAGGATTAATTATTCTCTAACAAAATAGGAAGTATTCGGTTATCTTTGATCAAATAAACGAAATTGAAATGAATATGAAAGTTAATAGATAACTTAAAAATAAAATATAATTTTTAGATTAAAATAAAATAGATTAAAAATTAAATTAAGCCTTCCTTCTCTCTCGAACCTTCTCCATTTTCGGCAGCCTTCTGCTAGCAGCCAGCAGCCACCTCCCCTCCAAACTGCCGGCGATAAATCTCCATGCCTCAAAATCTCTTCCTCCTTCCTCACCAACCCTTGGCTTCTCTCTCCTCCTTAGATTTCCTTTTCTTGCTCACGCTAGTCATCGGCCTCCCCATTCCCGCTACATGGCTTTTTCTTCTTCAACCTACCGGCAACTATATTCCCTTCTCTGATCACCATCGTCACCATGAAAGCCTTTTATCTCACCATTCCTTTTCTTTCTCACTTTTTCTGCTCCGTGAAGACTCTTCGTTGTTGCAAATACGCCAGCCACTTCCTTGATTTCAGCTTCCATTTTGTTCTAGATTTATGGTCACCTAAAGGAATCAAGGGCGAGTGAATCTCAAAACCAACAAAGATGTGCCCAGGTCTGCAGATCAATGATGATGGTGATGTTTTACGCGCGATGGCGGCAACTATCGGAGAACAACAACTCAACAGTTTGTACTTGAACTGGCCGGAGAATTCATGTGCAATCAAAAAGTAAGTCCACGTGCATGAAAAGAGACGAGGCCTCCTCTTGCAATCGGCCCAAAAACCCTCACCATCGGGCCTTCCGCAGCAGATGAGAAATTGGATTGGGTAAGATTTGGGTCCATTTTTGTCATAGAGTTAGGTTTGGTTTTGGATAGAAGAATAGGGTTTTTCTGAGCAGTATAAATAGATCTTTAGAAGAGGGTTTAAAAAAGGTCTTTTTTTTTTTTTGTTTGAGTTGGGTATTGAAAACGGCGGCAGAAAGGAGAGGAATTTTGCTAGAAGGAGCCGGTGATTTGGGAGAAGATTTGGGTCTGCCTTTGTAGGTAATTTTCTGAACAGAGGAGT